CGTACCGCAAAAAAAAAAAAAAAAAAAAAAAAAAAAAAAAAGACAAATAACCCAATTTTAAAAATGGGCAAAGGATCTGAATACACGTCTTTCCAAAGAAGGTGTACGCATGGCCATTAAGCGCGTAAAGATGCTAACATCTTTAGCCTCCAGGGAAGTAAAAGTCAAAACCACAATCCGATACCACTTGACACCCAGCAGGTTGGCTAAATAAAAGGAAAAAATAAGAAAAACAGTAACAAGTGTTGGTAAGGGTCCAGAGAAGCTGAAATCTGCTCTCTGCTAGGATTGTAAAATGGTGCAGACACTTTAGAAAATAGTCTGGCATTTCTTTAAAAGGTTAAACATAGAGTAACCATAAGACCTAGCAATTCAATTCCTCTGTACATACCCAAGAGATATGAAAACATTAGTCCATACAAATCTTATACACAAATGTCCATAGCAACGTTATTTACAACAGCCAAAAAGCGTAAGAAAAACAAATGTCCATCAACTGATGAGTAGATAAGTAAAATGTGGCGTAACCGTACAATGGGTACCATTCAGCAATTAAAGTGAAGTGTACTAAGACACGCCACAACGTGGGTGAATCTCGGAAATGTTACCCTAAATGAAAGAAGCCACACACACACATACAGACACATATTGCATGATTCTCTTTATGAAATGTCCAGAATATACAAATCTGTAGAGACAGAAAGTGGATTAGTGATTGCCTAGGATTGCAGAAGGTTGGGGGAAAATGGGCAGTGACTGCTAATGGGTGGGGTCTTTTGGGGTCAACGAACATGAAAACGTTCTAAAATTAATTGTGGTGATGGTTGCACAACTCTGTGAATATACTAAAAACCACTGAATCATACATTTTATTTTTTAATATTTTAATTTTATTGGTGAATCATACGTTTTAAATAGGTGAATTTTATGGTATGTGAGTTACATCTCAATAAAGTTGATCTATACCATAATAATGATATAAACATAATAATAGATAACATAATATAATAATAATAGATATTTTAAGTCTCCTTTGCAGCCCTCAATCGCTATAGGCCCCTAAACAGGAAGGGAATTGGGGGTGGGGCAAGCAAGGCCCCCAGCACATCCCCTCTGAAAGGCAGGGTCCCCAGAACAGGGGCAGGAGCAAGGCTGTGGAGTCACTAACTCCGTGCTGGCAGCTGGGGACCGGCTCATGAACTCTGGGTCTCGGACGTCCCTTGGCCTCCTTGTGCCACAGGCCAGCATCTCCGGAGTGAGGGTGAGAACGGGTCCCTCTCCTGGGGTGGCTGCGACGATAAGGTGAGAAGGTTCATGTCAGGCACCGAGCGAGACCCCTGGAACACAGGAAGCACACAGTAGATGATACCAGTACTATGGAAGCAGCCTGGGCGTAAGAAGTAATGAGCGAGGCTGACAGGCCGGGAAGAAACAAGCTGCGCTGCCCTGGAGGGTCAAGGCAAGCCCCCAACCTCTTGCCTCATTGGAGCCAAAAGTTTCTGCAACTTCCCACTGGGCTTTCCTCCGAACGGCCCCTCGGCCCGGCGTCTCGCTCTTTCTTATCCAGTATTTTCCCCGCACCCCGTCAGTCCAGACATGGAACTGGGCCTTTCTGTTGGTCAAACAAAAGGAAGAAGGGGCCCAACACTGGGCCCCCTGCATGGCCACAGCCCCTTCCCTCCCCCTTCCCTCGCCGGCATCACCCACCCAGCTCACACCCGCCCCGCGGACCACACTCCTAACACCACCCTCCCTCCCTCTGCCCAGCAGGCTGCCGTTCCAGGTCTGACTCCCAATTCCACGGGGCAGGCAAAGGGCCTCCCAGGGAACAGATTCCCCAGCACACGAGTGTCCTTGTCCCGAAGGCCCTGCAGCCGTGCACAGCTCTGTCACCCCCGTGCCTCCAGTTTCCTGCCATTCGCGTTTATTCTCGAGCGTGGAATTTATCCCACGCCCACTCCCTTCCCTAAATGTTACCAGCCCCTTCCTACAGGCAGACGTGCGGGGCTGGCTTCCGGCCAGGTGTGCAGGACACACAGGGCCACCAAGCAACAGGCGACCTCATCTCTATAGAGTAGCTCACATGTGCTGGGGCGGTTCCAGGAAAGCCCCAGGATAGGTGGGATCTTTAACTCTCTGGCTCAATTGCCCCTGAGCCAAATGGGAGCAAAAAAGGCCCAGATTGTTCTTGGGTGTCTCTGTGGAGGCCCCCCCATCACCCCTAGCCACTTCCTTTTCTCTTGCTGCACTAGTTGCGGTTGATTTAAAGCCCATGCGTTGCCATGGCAACGTGGCCAAATCTGACATGCCCCCCACCCCGCCCAGAGGCCAGAAGTTATCCTCCCTCAGGTGCCTCAAGTCTTACTCCTGTCCCTCATTAGTGCTGAGATTACACTGAAATAATACAGGTTCAAACTACACCCAAATTGCTTCAGAGAGAAGTTTCACACTCTTACGTAACCAGCTGTTTTCAGATCTGAGATCCAAGACCTTGGTCCTCGTTGTCACAGCCGTCAGCAAAGGAAATCTTGAGTTCACCTTCAAAACAGCTCCGAGGGACACACTGGAAACCAATTCTCAATCCCAGCCAGTTTCCTTCCACTTGGAAATCTGCCCTGTTTTCCATTCTTAGGGTTAAGATGCTAGAACATTCGGTCAGGTGCTTCCTTCCTTCCCCCTTTCCAAATCTGAACACCAGATTTAAGGAAAGGAAGTGCCAGCAATTCAGACCATGCAAACGAGGAACCACGTCCCGAGACCTGACCCAGAACAAACTCTAAGAAAGTGTGTTTGGGCATCACTTTTTAACAAATGTATGCCACAGTGCATCCAAGGCTATATTTTCTTTTGTTCTTAATTCTTTTTTTCTATGTGTGGGCTTATTTTTTTCCCCTCTCTCTTCCTCCCAGATGGAACCTAAGCGCCTGAAAAAACAGCTTCCCAAAATCCTGAAGCTCCTGAAACCAGATGACAGGATTCTGATTGTGGGGACAACACAGCGACCTTTTGATGCTGAACTTCAACCTTTGTGCAAAGTTTATCAAAAAATTATTCTGGTTCCCAGACCAGACTATGCTTCCAGATATGGCAAGTACCCCTCACCCCTTCCAGTATGCAGTAACCGAAGCTGGGCCGTCCGGTGTGGGCTTGCAGGCATGTGGGCTTGAGCCAGGAGGGTGGCCTTCGTCACCCAGTGACCGTCAGAAGGTGATGTAAGTCCCAGTGCCCCAGGACGTCAGCCGAACTCCAAGCCATAAACATAAACACCAGGTCCCAAGAGCAACAGATCTCTGTTCTGTTGTTAATGTAATTCTTTTTACCCAAGACAAAAGGAAACAGGACAGGGATTATTATTTTGAGCCCTGAAGGAGACAAAAGCCCCTGTGGGTGAGAATTTTTCTTTTGACAGGTAGATTTAGGGTCACTCAGCTTGTCCCCGTGGTGGTGATGTCTTTCCCCTGCAACAGCATTTCTTTTCACCTGGTCGATTTTTTTTTCCAGGCTCAAAATACTAGTCCAAGAGAATGTTGATTTACTTAAACACTAAATACAACAAGAGCTTACTTTTTTTCCATTTTTTCCCTTGGATAGACAGATTCAAAATCACTTCTTTTGAAACCTATTTTTAAATGGGAACAATACAAAAAAGTGACCCTGGGAGGCAGTGCAGTGAAATTGGGAAGAGCCGTGGCACGTGGGTTCTGACGAGCCCTGGTTCTGATCCTGGCTGTCCCGCCAAATAGCTGATGACCTTGAGAAGTAGGCTGACATTCTGAGCCTCCATTTTCTCAACTCTAAAGTAGGAGAACTGTTCAGTTCCCAGGGCTGTGGTGACCCTTATATGAGATGGCTAGAATGCCCAGCGCCATCTCAGCTCCCGGAGAGGACGGGCGGAGGGGGAGAAGGCAGTGATGGTGGGCGTGGAGGAGGAATATTTAAATGGCAGGTTGGTAAATGGCCCAGGGAGCCGGCAGTGGTGCCGGTGGTGGTTTCCATTATAGATTGCTGCGTGACAGACCTCCCCAGTGGCTTGAAACCACAAAGTACGCCTCTCATGATTCTGAGGGCCCACTGGGCTCAGTGGGGGAGTTCTCCCCAAGGTGTTTCATGATGGCGCAGTAAATGGCGGCTGGGACTCCAGTCATCTGAAGACTGGACAGGGCTGGACATCCAAGACCATTCCCTCCATGCCTGTGCTGTTGCTGGCTGTCAGCTGGGAGCTCGGCTGGGGCTGGTGATCAGACCTCCTCTACCCGGCCTCTCCCCGTGACCTTCCACAGCGCGACAGCTAGGTCCCCAGGGGGAACATCCTAAGGGGAAACGTTTCAAGAGGTTCAGGCAAAAGCTGGAAGGATCCTTGTGACCCAGCTGCAGCAGTCACTCAGAGTCACTTTCACCACACTCTACTGGTCAAGAGAAAGTCACAGGCCAGCCCAAGTTCAAGGACAGTGGACTACACAGCATGTAAATACCAAAGGTGTGACTCATTGAGGGGTCGTCTTGGCCACCCATGGTAGTGGTGGTGGTGGTAGATTTGGTTTAGAGATGATGATGGTGCTGTTGGAAATGGCGGTGATGGTGACCACAGCCTGGGGGTGATGGAGATGGCGGTGGTCATGGTGGCGGTCATGGTAGAGGAGATGGCGGTAGCGATGACGTGGTAACCATGGTGCATTGCTGATAATAATAAAAACTCTTAGGTCAGACTTGGTTTCTATTCATCCTTCATTAGTCACAATAGCACCACCAAAACAGAGAGGATATATGGTCCTTTCCGGTTGATCTTAAGTTCCTGGTCAGTGTGATTTGCTAGAAGAACAACCCTTTACTCCCCATACATTATAAACTCTTAGCTTCTTAGCCACTCCGTTTGCAATATGCATTCGTTTCTGTCTTGATAAAGTGTGATCATAATCACAATGTTATATGCAAAGCACAGGAAGACTTTGGGCCCAGTTATTTCTCCACCCATCCCATGGAGGGACTTCTCCATCTTCTGGGGCCTACAAGCCCTCCACTGGATCCTTTGCAACCAGCCAGCATCAAAGGAAAAGAAAGGAAGATAGTATAAATGATCTCTAAGGAGATGTAGGGACCAGACTGAGGAGGGGCCAACAGTTCTTCTAGCCACATTGGCCAGAATGACTCACGAGGCCCCACCAAGGTTCAAGGGGGCAGGGATGTGTAGCTCAGCCAAGGAAGGAGTCGACACAGAGATGGGTGAGCACCAGTGTCCTCTGCCCACTACAGAGGATTCCACACTCCTGGTTTCATCAGAGCTTTCCCACTCTCATGCCCCTTGGTTAGATTCTCTGTGTCTCTCTGTCTCTCTGTCTCTCTGTCTCTCTCTGTATTGTATATATATTTTTTAAGGTATCTTAATGGAATAAGGTAGAGTATTATTAATTTTCAGGGGCTAGAACATTATTCTTGACTTTGAACAGTTTCGACTGTTTGACAAAACCATAGGCCCTTTCGAAATGAAGCTATTGATGTATAACAAGGACAGTTGTGTTCTTTTGATAAAGTGCCAGGCCTCTCTAGGGACTCAGATCACAAGACAGGTTCCAACTTGAATCCCCTCACGGCAGCATCGTGGGAGAGGTAGGAGGAAGCATCCCTTCACCTGTGGGCGGATGATAAACCTGTAGCCGTGGTCATCTTGGGCCCAGGGCTCTGTCCACTCAGTCACGTGTGTCTCACATATTTCTTTCTCGGTGGGTGATTTGTTCAGGCTGCCATTCTCGCCAACATCATAAATGCTGCCCAGCGTTTCCTCCAGTGACCTTGAAGTTACCATAGCCACGGTGGCTGGGCCATCTATCTTAAAGAAAGGCTATTCCTGTCTTTGCAATGATCTAAAACAGTCTCTTGGGCTTCCCTGGTGGCGCAGAGGTTGAGAGTCCACCTGCTGATGCAGGGGACGCGGGTTCGTGCCCCGGTCCGGGAAGATCCCACGTACCGCGGAGCGGCTGGGCCCGTGAGCCATGGCCGCTGAGCCTGCGCGTCCGGAGCCTGTGCTCCGCAAAGGGGGAGGCCGCAGCAGTGAGAGGCCCGCGTACCACAAAAAAAAAAAAAAAAAAAAAGCACTGCCTGAAAAAAGGGGCTCCCAGCCGCTGGATTGCATTTTGAGAGTTGCCATCACAGCGCGCCCGGGACACAAAAAAAAAAAAAAAAAAAAAAAACGGTCTCTTGCATCCTGTAAAGCCTGGGCTGCAAATCCATAACTTGGGCCCTTGCTTGTCCATCTATCTGCTGGCAGCAGAGGGCCAAAGGTGCATGGAACACTCACGATCCAACTTCTCAGATTCTCCAGGCGGTGTGGGGGAGTGACAGGGCTGAGAAGAGAAGGGTAGATCAGCCAGAGGAAACACGGTCCTTAAGGTTTACCAAATATAATTCAATATCTACCTCCTTTCCCCAAATCAAGCGGTTTCCTTCAAAATGTCTCTGCAAAGAAAATCCACCCCCAGGTTGATTAATGCCATGTCTAGTCCCCAGAAATCCCTTTGGGCTTCCTTCTCTCCACGTTCCTCATGCCTCCTCCTGTCTCTCTTCCCCAGGGTCTGTTCCGCTAATAACCCGATTCATCAGAGGCCCCCCACCTTAGACCCTGTGTCTGCTCGGAGGGGTCCAGCCCATGTCTTTCTTTTTTTTTTTTTTAACATCTTTATTGGGGTATAACTGCTTTACAATGCTGTGTTAGTTTCTGCTTTATAACAAAGTGACTCAGCTGTACATATACATACATTCCCATATCTCCTCCCTCTTGCGTCTCCCACTATCCCACCCCTCTAGGTGGGCACAAAGCACCGAGCTGATCTCCCTGTGCTATGCGGCTGCTTCCCACTAGCTGTCTATTTTACAGTTGGTAGTGTATATATGTCCATGCCGCTCTCTCACTTCGCCCCAGCTTACCCTGCCCCCTCCCCATGTCCTCAAGTCCATTCTCTAGTAGGTCTATGTCTTTATTCCTGTCCTGCCCCTAGGTTCTTCAGAATCTTTTTTTTTTTAGATTCCATATATATGTGTTAGCATACGGTATTTGTTTTTCTCTCTCTGACTTACTTCACTCTGTATGACAGACTCTAGGTCCATCCACCTCACTACAAATAACTCCATTTCGTTTCTTTTTATCAGCCCATGCCCTCCGATTTTTCTGGAATCCTAGACTACGGAGGCCAGAAGCTCATCCAAATCACGTTATTCACCCTCTTGTGCTTTTGCAAAATCCCAAATAAAAATGAATTTTAAGAGACTATGTCATCTCAAGCACTAGCCAGGATAGAATCAATTGGGAACGCCTAAAGCAGAGAAGGGGCCCCAGAGACCAGATTCCTTTCAGCCTAAAGAAGGGGAAGGGGATGTAGATTAGTCTGAAGAACTGAAGAGCCCTCTACATCCGACAAAGGAAGGTAAAACACGGCCGCAGGTCCAGAGAGCCCCTCAGCTGCCTTGAACCGTTTGGTAGCCCTGGCCTCTGGTCCTCACGGCCACGCCCATTGCCAGTCCCCAAGCCTGTTGTGCTTTTGTGCCCACCACCACCACCCCTAACCCCGCTGGACCGAAGGCTTGGCAGCCTGCTCGTGGCTCCAGTCAAACATGAGAAGGAAGTCAAGCCTGATTCTCTCTCCCCTTCTCTGGATCTGGAGATGGCTGGGGGCAAGTGGGCAAGTCCCACGGCAGCTGTGACTGCACCACCATTAAAAAATGATGAGCTTGGGGAAGTCATCAATGTTTTAGGTATTTTGACGAAGCTGACCAAGACTTTACACGAATATCATACATGTTCTTTGTCAATAGGGTGTTTACATGTCCACGCTAGACCAGAGTAACTGTCGTTTTTTGCATCACTGTATTTTTATTGGAGTATAGTTGACCTACAATATCGTGTTAGTTGCAGGTATACAGCACAGTGATTCAGTTGTACGTATATATGTATATTCTTTTCCAGATTCTTTTCCCTTATATGTTATCACAAAATACTGAGTAGAGGTCCCTGTGCTATACAGTAAGTCCTTGTTGGTTATCTGCTTTATATATAGTAGTGTGTATCTGTTAATCGCGACATCTGCATCACTATTACTGAATCTTTACTTGCAGGGATTTTTGTGTTAAAATACAGGGAGGCTGTGACTTTCATAGCTTAACAGGGGGGCACGGGAGAGCTGATGTTTGTCGCTGGGAAGCCCTTGGCCCTCACTGTTTGTCCCCTCCACGCTGCAGGTAGGAATTTCACCCACGGGTGCCCATGTCTGAAGCTGCTCTGGGTCCCCAGCCTGGGGTATCTACCAGGTCCTCAGGTTTAGGGGTTCTCACCAGTGACTGTCCCATAAAACGTGTTCCCTTCTCAGCACCCAGAGTCACCACTCAGACCTGTTTGCATGGCTTCTAGATGTTATGAATGAGGACAGGAGACAGACGAGATCCCAAGGGATGGTGTCATCTGGTTGTTGTTGTTGCTGTGTGTTTTTACCACGGGTTGTGTCTCCTGATGTCTAACTCTACAGCCGTTGTATTTAGATAAGCGTAATCCTCCCCTGTTCCAATCTGTCTTTTACACAGATATGCTTAGAAATACTCTGTAGTTTATTTTGTGTTAGCTTTTATAACATGTTTTACTGAGCATTAGGAAACTTTGGTACAAAGTGGAATGACTTGATAGTAATAAAATTACAGAAATAAAAGTAATCAAGCTACAGAAGAGAAAGTGTCCACCATGTGCCAGAACAGTTTCTTCCAAGTGATTTGTACACATTCTTGTCCTTATTTCTCATAGCAGCTTGAGAAGTAAATCTCTCTACTCCCACTTTTACCTTATATGGGTTCAGGTTCAAATAAACCCACCAAGGATTTAGCAGTGTAGACGCAGGAGGGAGATGTTGCTTTAGGCAAATTTGGAGGCCCCCGTGGCCCTTGCTGGTCTCACTGCAGCTTTCATTCCTTGATGGCTAACCTTCCACCGTTGGAAGACACCACAGGCCCCATGATAACATGCACCCCTTCCCAGCAACTCAGCTCACTTGGGGCCAGGGATCCCCCACCAAAGAGGACAGTGGAGGCGCATTGTTGGAATAACTCGTGGTCCCAAAAGCCAGACTCTGATGTGGGTCCTAGTTACGTTCCAAGTCATTCTATCCCTTGACAGTCATTGGACCTTTTCATCTCATCAGGTATTTTTGGATCAATGTAGTTGGATGCTGCAGTCATGTCACACACCTGACAGTGCTCAGATCATGCAGTAATCTTCAATTGTTTAAAAACGGTTTCAAATATTCCTCAAAGAAGGTCAAAATGCTCTAGAGACATCTGGCCAAATCTTCTCAGTACCGCGGCTGGTTCTGATACGGAAGGCCTGCATCCTTCTATCCTGGGTCTGGATAGAACTAAACACACCACAGCAAGTCTCATTTATTTCCCTGGAGCCTCTCTTGACAGAATAGACATAGTTCTCAAAGTGTAATCTCGTCTCAAATGTTGTATGGGAGCCCCTCCTATCTCTAAGGTTAAATAAACATGAGGGATAATTTCATAATCCATCTTCACAGCATCCCTGTGTTCTAAGTGAAATCTCCCGGTTACCCCAGGTCCCACTGACCCACACAGCAACAGGACTCCCATCTGGTAGATCTGTTCATCTGTGCATGTTTTTCCATTGTTGGGGGCAGAGAATAAAGGGTCCAGTTGCTCTAATAGGACGTATGGGACAGTGCCTTACACCCAACGGGAACCAAGCCCTGCCATGACTGATAGAAATTGGACTCTGCGTTCCAATTCCACACATAAAAATCATGTAAGAAATGAACTTTATAGCTCAAACAAGTCAGACTCCTACTTAGCCAAATGCCATAGACACCCACGTAAATTTCCAATTTTGAACATCTTTGAAGGTACCACCCTAAAACTATACTGACCCTAGTTTAATTTTTCCTTGTCAATTCAAGGGGCTTGTAGTCTGCAGACCTCAGGGCCATCGATGTGCACCCCTTATGCTTGAAAATCCCTCGAGGCAGAGCATTTGGTTATGTGGCTTCCTGCTCCTTTGAATTACAAATTGGAGCAGACCTCCTGTGCTCTCCTTTCTTGGTGAGCCACAGCTTTGTCCTGGGAACTGGGTTAATGCTGCTTTCTCTGTGGTGACTCCTGTTCTCTGTCTTTTCCATCATTTTGGATACAACAGTTTTGTGGAAAGAAATCATTCAGCGCCACGGCGGAGTCATCACTGGTGCCTTGAGTGTCAGTTGCCTGGCACAGATCACCGACGGCTTCACCCAGGGCCACATCGTCCAAGTGGTGAAGGAGGTGCTCACAGAGCGCAGAATCCGGCAGCAATCTCACAAGCCGCTCACCGCCCTCGAGTTCATCGCGTCTCTCACCAGCATGAGTCCCGTCTACCAAGAGGAAGAAGAGAGCTTTAAGGTAAACGCCACGCCTACCTGGCCAGGTCCTAGCAGCAAACACTTGTCACGTCACCTCCTCCCTCCAGTCCCCTGGGTTTCATGCATTTGGACTCTACCATACCCAGTAAAATTTAGAAACTCGAAATTTGGGGGCCACAGTATTTTTCTGGCCTTAGCAGTAAAGCACATGTCTTCCAAATTTTAGGAAAATTGTGATCCATGACCTTATAAATGAGCAGCCAAATTGCAGAATTGAGTAGCAGCTTCAAAACCATTGGATTTGCGCGCGCGCGCGCACACACACACACACACACACACACCCCTCTCTTGGTTCTCACTGGTTTTTACTTCATAATTCACATAATGGAACAAGTTTTGCATGGAAAAAACCAGTCCCTAAACAGTGTGCTTCCAGCCAACGCTGCTTTCGCTCCATATTTACCCTGGTACACGTCATCTTCCAGTACACTTGTGATAGGAAATCACAAGAAAATTCACCAACATTTAGTTTTCGCATTTTTTTTTTTTTTTTTTTTGCAGTACACGGGCCTCTCACTGTTGTGGCCTCTCCCGTTGCGGAGCACAGGCTCCGGACGTGCAGACTCAACGGCCATGGCTCACGGGCCCAGCCGCTCCGCGGCATGTGGGATCTTCCTGGACCGGGGCACGAACCCGTGTCCCATGCATCGGCAGGCGGACTCTCAACCACTGCGCCACCAGGGAAGCCCTAGTTTTCGTATTTTTGAACACACTCTGATATGTTCACAGAACTTTTTAGATCTGGAGGAAGCTTTGAGAATTAACTCTTCATATCCCTCGATATGGGAGGAAAAGAGCTAGCCAAGAGTGAGGTGCCTTTTCCAGGTACAATCAGTTTTAGAGCCTTCGTCCCCAAGGCCCAGGCCAGCAGGCAGCCCCTGCAAATCCTTTGAATAAGAATGAGTACAGTTGTGTTCTCTTTCTGAACCTAAAGGTAGTTTTCTTAGCCAACTGGGAAAAAAAGGGAGGAAAACTGTATCCATGCAATTATATCCACCACCATCTTAGCCATGCAGTCACCGGAAAGAGAGTTGTAATTCCCGTTCAAGCCTCTTGTCTCTGAAAGCCTGCTTGGGATTAGGAAAATTCCCTCTATGACGTGTCACTTTTCCACCAACTATAGAAACTGTTTCCCCTCTGCTTTGCTGCTGATGCAAAACTGCCTATTGAAAATAGTCTCAATACTGATCCCCAAAATAATGATCTGCACAAGGGTTGCACAAGTAGTTGATCTTAATCTTGATCTGCACAAGTAGTTTCATTAGGTCCCATTTGTTTATTTTTGGTTTTATTTCCATTTCTCTAGGAGGTGGGTCAGAAAGGATCTTGCTGTGATTTATGTCATAGAGTGTTCTGCCACTGTTTTCCTCTAAGGATTTTATAGTGTCTGGCCTTACATTTAGGTTTTTCATCCACTTTGAGTTTATTTTTGTGTATGGTGTTAGGGAGTGTTCTAATTTCATTCTTTTACATGTAGCTGTCTGTTTTTCCCAGAACCATTTATTGAAAGGGTGTCTTTTCTCTATTGTATATTCTTGCCTCTTGCCTCCTTTATCAAAAATAAGGTGACCATACATGCATGGGTTTATCTCTGGGCTTTCTATCCTGTTCCAGTGATCTATATTTCTGTTTTTGTGCCAGTACCATACTGTCTTGATTACTGTAGCTTTGCAGTATAGTCTGAAGTCAGGGAGCCTGATTCCTCCAGCTCCATTTTTCTTTCTCAAGATTGCTTTGGCTATTCAGGGTCTTTTGTGTTTCCATACAAATTGTGAGATTTTTTGTTCTAGTTCTGTGAAAACTGCCATTGGTATTTTGATAGGGATTGCACTGAATCTGTAGGTTGCTTTGGGTAGTACAGTCATTTTCACAATGTTGATTCTTCCAATCCAAGAACATGTTATATCTCTCCATGTGTTATAGTTTTCTGCATACAGGTCTTTTGTCTCCTTAGATTTATTTATTCTAGATAGATTTATTCCTAGGTATTTTATTCTTTATCTTGCAGTGGTAAATGGGAGTGTTTCCTTAATTTCTCTTTCAGATTTTTCATCATTAGTGTATAAGAATGCAAGAGATTTCTGTGGATTAATTTTATATCCTGCTACTCTAACAAATTCATTGATTAGCTCTAGTAGTTTTCTGATAGCATCTTTAGGATTCTCTAAGTATAGTATCATGTCATCTGCAAACAGTGACAGCTTTACTTCTTCTTTTCGGATTTGGATTCCTTTTATTTAATTTTCTTCTCTGATTGCTGTGGCTAAAAACTTCCAAAACTATGTTGAATAAGAGTCGTGTGAGTGGACAACCTTGTCTTGTTCCTGATCTTCGAGGAAATGGTTTCAATTTTTCACCATTGAGAACGACGTTGGCTGTGGGTTTGTCATATATGGCCTTTATTATGTTGAGGTAAGTTCCCTCTGTGCCTACTTTCTGGAGGGTTTTTATTATAAATGGGTGTTGAATTTTGTCGAAAGCTTTTTCTGCATCTGTTGAGATGATCATATGGTTTTTCTCCTTCAGTCTCTTAATATGGTTTATCACATTGATTGATTTGCATATATTAAAGAATCTTTGCATTTCTGGGATAAACCCCACTTGATCATGGTGTGTGATCCTTTTAATGTGCTGTTGGATTCTGTTTGCTAGTATTTTGTTGAGGATTTTTGCATCTATGTTCATCAGTGTTATTGGCCTGTCGTTTTCTTTCTTTGTGACATCCTTGTCTGGTTTTGGTATCAGGGTGATGGTGGCCTCGTCGAATGAGTTTGGGAGTGTTCCTCCCCCGCTATATTTTGGAAGAGTTTGAGGAGGATGGGTGTTAGCTCTTCTCTAAATGTTTGATAGAATTCGCCTGTGAAGCCGTCTGGTCCTGGGCTTTTGTTTGTTGGAAGATTTTTAATCACAGTCTCAATTTCAGTGCTTGTGATTGGTCTGTTTATATTTTCTATTTCTTTCTGGTTCAGTCTTGGAAGGTTGTGCTTTTCTAAGAATTTGTCCATTTCTTCCAGGTTGTCCATCTTATTGGCATAGAGTTGCTTGTAGTGATCTCTCATGATCCTTTGCGTTTCTGCAGTGTCAGTTGTTCCTTCTCCTTCTCCATTTCTGATTCTATTGATTTGAGTCTTCTCCCTTTTTTCTTGATGAGTCTGGCTAATGGTTTATCAATTTTGTTTATCTTCTCAAAGAACCAGCTTTTAGTTTTATTGATCTTTGCTATCGTTTCCTTCATTTCTTTTTCATTTATTTCTGATCTGATCTTTATGATTTCTTTCCTTCTGCTGACTGTGCGGGTTTTTTGTTCTTCTTTCTCTAATTACTTTAGGGGTAAGGTTCGGATGTTTATTTCAGATGTTTTCTGTTTCTTGAGGTAGGATTGTATTGCTATAGACTTCCCTCTTAGAATTGCTTTTGCTGCATCCCATAGGTTTTGGGTCGTCGTGTTTTCATTGTCATTTGTTTCTAGGTATTTTTTGATTTCCTCTTTGATTTCTTCAGTGGTCTCTTGCTTATTTAGTAGTGTATTGTTTAGCCTCCATGTGTTTGTATTTTTTACAGACTTTTTCCTGTAATTGATGTCTAGCCTCATAGCATTGTGGTGGGAAAAGATACTTGATATGACTTCAATTTTCTTAAATTTACCAAGGCTTGATTTGTGACCCAAAATATGATCTGTCCTGGAGAATGTTGCATGAGCACTTGAGAAGAAAGTGTATCCTGTTCTTTTTGGATGGAATGTCCTATAAATATCAATTAAGTCCATCTTGTTTAATGTATCATTTAAAGCTTGTGTCTCCTTATTTATTTTCATTTTGGATGATCTTTCAATTGGTCAAAGTGGGGTGTTAAAGTCCCCTACTATGATTGTGTTACTGTCGATTTCCCCTTTTATGGCTGTTAGCATTTGCCTTATGTATTGAGGTGCTACTATGTTGGGTGCATAAATATTTACAATTGTTATATCTTCTCCTTGGATCGATCCCTTGATCATTATGTAGTGTCCTTCTTTGTCTCTTGTAATAGTCTTTATTTGAAAGTCTGTTTTGTCTGATGTGAGAATTGCCACTCCAGCTTTCTTTTGATTTCCATTTGCATGGAGTATCATTTTCTATCCCCTCACTTTCAGTCTGTATGTGTCCCTAGGTCTGAAGTGGGTCTCTTGTTGACAGCATACGTATGGGTCTTGTTTTTGTATCCATTCAGCCTGTCTGTGTCTTTTGGTGGGAGCATTTAGTCCATTTACATTTAAGGTAATTATCGATATGTATGTTCCTATTCCCATTTTCTTAATTGTTTAAGGTTTGTTATTGTAGGTCTTCTTCTCTTGTGTTTCCCGCTTAGAGAAGTTCTTTAGCATTTGTTGTAAAGCTGGTTTGGTGGTGCTGAGTTCTCTTAGCTTTTGCTTGTCTGTAAAGGTTTTAATTTCTCCGTCGAATCTGAATGAGATCCTTGCTGGGTAGAGTAATCTTGGTTGTAGGATTTTCCCTTTCATCACTTTAAATATGTCCTGCCACTCCCTTCTGACTTGCAGAGTTTATGTTGACCCCACATCCATTTCTGCTTCCTGTCATATCTCCAGGACTTGGCACAGCGCATGGTCCCACCTAGATGTTCAGTTAACTTGTTTAGTGGCAAATGGATTGAGCCGATGGATAGAAGGAATGAAACTGTCACTCTGCCGCGTAATTTGATTCCATGGTTGTAGTTGCTGGTAATCAGGTCTATCATTTTCACCCTGAGAAATTTCACCCAGCTGCGCTTCTGACAACATGTCAGACTAGGGTCTTGCAGATTCTCCAAACACATGTACCTGCACAATGGACATGATGGAGAAAATATTGAATGATAATGACATAATAGTTTTAATAGTGTTAGCTAATACTTATGACTACTTATGTGCCAGGCACCCTATTAACTCAGTTAGACCACACCATTTACCCTATTTTGCAGATGGGGAAACTGAATTATAATGAGGTGTAGTAGGCAGAATATTGGCTCCCCAAAAAGGTCTACATCTGGGTCCCTGGAACCTGGGCCTATGTTAGGTTACATGGCAAAGGGGAATTAAGGTTTCAGATGGAATAACTTTGCTAATCAGCTGACCTTAAGACAGATTACCCTGAATTATCCTTATGAGTCCAGTGTAATCATAAAAGTTAGAAGAGGGCACAAGAAGAGAAACCAGACAGATGGCAGTGTGAGGAATCATTGAGACTCCAGGTAGCACAACACTGCTAGCTCGAAGCTAGAGATGGGGCCACAGGCTAGGATAGCCGGTGGCCTATGGAAACTACAAAAGACAAGGGGACAGATTCTCCCCTGGAACTCCAGAAAGGAACACAGCCTGCAGACACCTTGATTTTAGCCCCATGAGACCCATTTTGGACTTCTGATCTACAGAACTATAAGATAATAAGTGTTTTTTTAAGCCATGTGGTAATTTGCTGCAGCAGCCAAAACAAAGCAAACAAACAAACAAAAACCACAAGAGGCAAAATGACTTGTTCCAGGTCACACAGCTTAAAAGGAGTAGAGCGAAAATTCAAATCTCACTCCCAAGCCAATTTTATTGACCATATTCCATACTGTGCCTCAGTAAATTAGGAGTCCATCACCTTAAGTACTTGGCCACCTCACCTTATGTTGAAAGGTGAGTCAATGCTAAAAGAAGAATGAGAAGATCGTCAAGTGCCAGAAACAAAGATAAATCTCAAACACAGGGACAAACAGGTGCCTGGCATATAGCATAGAGAGAAATAAATGATAGAAAACAAAGATCAGGAGTTGTAACAGATAAAATGACAAATCTGCTGCTTCTATGACTGGATCTTTGATATCCCAATATCACCAAGGAGCATTAGCTTCTAAACAACCTACAAGTCCTGGTTCTGGGTGTGGGTTTTGAGAACCACGTGGAAGCAAGTGCAGTACTGCTAGGGAGGTAGGTATAATGAGAGAGAGAGAGAGAGACCAAAACAAATCTGAAAATCAAAATTCGAAAACATTTTAGGAAATCTAGTGTTACATACAACCTTCACACAAAAATGATTAAAAGACAATAGTTTAAACAAAAACATTTAGATTAATATGATTAAGATGTTCAAGAAAATAAAGGAAGGCATAACTTCCATTAGACATGCACACAAAGTTTTGAAACAAAGACAGGCAGAAGTGGAATAAAAACAGATAATTATGAAAAAAATCACAAAAAGAAAGCTTTGAAATGAAAAATAAGGTAACTAACATAAAAAGCCAAAAAATAAAAGAGGTGTGAACTCTTTTCACAGCTCTTTCACAGCTCCCCCCAGAAGGCAACATAGAAAAATTAAAACATAAAACCTATAAACTGCAAGTAAGGACCTTTGAAGACACTGACACCCAACTAATAGCAGTTCTAGCAGAAGAGAAGACATGTCAGAGCAACAAGTATTTGAAGAAATACTTGCTGAGAATTTTCCTTAATTAAAGACGTGACTTCTTAGGTTAAAAACAAACTCCACATGACCAGCAGAACACATGAAACAAATCTACACCTACACGCATTATTGTGAACCTAAGAACAAGGCAACAAGCCAGTCTTAAGACACCTGCAAAGAAGATTACCTGCAAAGAAGCAATTGGGAGATCGGACATCTCCTTGGCAAAAATAGACACCAGAAGAAAGTGAGAGTATATCTGCAAAGTGCTGAGGAAAACTAACTGTGTACCTAAAATTTGTATCCAGCTAAACTAACATCCAAGAGATCGGAAAAAATATAAAGATACTTTAAGACACACAAAGACTGAGATAGTGTCCTACTCACACACTTCAGACTGCAGTTTGGAAATATCAGATAAACTTGAAGATGCTCATGACCTACAACCAGGAATTCTATTTCTGTGTATATGCCCCAGAGAAGTTTTCTCATTTGTGTATAAGGAGATATAAAAGTTGTGAATTTCAACACGGTTCATAATAACAAAATATTGGAAATGACCTATATGTCCGTTAATGGGAGAATTGATAAGTAAGTTGTAGCATAGTCATTTAATGAAATAATATAACCACAGAGCTTGTAAACCAAAGTGTTTCTCAGATTTCAAATAAATGTGAAAGTTGAGAAAAATGTCATCACAGGGCCAGCTGCAATCATTAAGTGCTTTGGAGTATTTTGGCTCCAGTATTTCTGCCATGTTTTTAACAGTATCCCTCAGTCCAGCTGCTGGTGGCCTTGTCTGAACCATAGGGAGCCATTCACATTACCAAGAAAACCCACACCTTCGGGATAGAGCAAGCTTCCCAGGAAGTCAGGTGACTCAGTTGGGAAGGGTCGTTGGTTAGATCTGGCCAGTGATCCTCCTTAACTGTTAACTCCTTGAGATAGAAGTTTCCAATTGTATCGAAATACAGGTTGGTAAACCCACGTAGAAAGAATTTGTATTGAACATACATTAAATGCCCAACGTTTAATGGCTGCTTGCCCCTTTCCGTTCAGTGAGCTTTTCTTTATTTTTAAGGACATACTAGTGAATTCACATCATTTTGATATTTTCCTGAATGTCTGTTCGATTTCAGGACTGGTACGCCAAGACCCCTATGGGTAAAAAGCGAGCCTTGGCATTAACAGGAGATAACAAAGAAAATGAAAAGGACAAAGGAAAAGAGAAGGAGAAGAAAGGATTAAAGGAGAAAAAGAAAAAGTAATGCCTCTCTGAGGAGCCAGGGATGGAGGTGGGCCCGACTCTCCAGGGGGGAGATTGACCATTGCCTGTGTGAAGACCCGCACTGATGCCCTACGTCCACCAGCCCTGCCCTCGCTCAGTTAGATCTTTGTAGGCTGACCACCAAGTTAGTTGTGCATAACAAATATTTCTAGAGCTTGTAATTATTTCTTAATCTATATAAAGTTTGTATATAAGCAAAACTCACTCTTCACACACTCCACAATCTATCCCAGTTGGACACTTCATCTCATCGGTACTAGTTGCTAAATTTAAATTTTGATACTTAGAAAATACCCTAATCTGACAACTAGTAAATTCAGTCAGTCATCGGTGCTACTAGCTTTTTATTAATAATCTTGCACATATTTTAATAAATTAATTCTTTGCTCTATTCATGTATTCTATATAATGGAATAAAAACTTTTTCTTGGACTGACTCAGTAATTTGGTTGCTGGAGCTAAAAAGGATCTTTTAAATTAACGCTTTCAATCTTCTGACTTTGAAGACGGGGAAACTAAGGCCCAGGGCCGCACAGCTAATATTTGGAACATTGGGGCTAAGTCATTGCCTCTTAGTTCCTGGGTTCCTGCTCTTGGGAAACACCGGAGCAGCGACGGGCCAATGGCTAGATGAAAACTACGACCCCAAATGGGGTTAAAAAAAGGAGAAGAGAAACTCTGAATAAAGAAGTAAGAAATTCTAAGAAAGAAAAAGATTAAAGAATAGAAAGGTGAGGGTCAAAAGATAAATTCCAATTTTGTAAGAATCTGAAAGGTTACTTGGTGGCATACATATTGTAAGTAACCCGCTTCTAAATTGTGGTGAGAACACAATCAAAGGAAGGAGACAGATTGAGGTGCGTTAAATTTACTGGAATTTAATTCAAATTAACTATTGCGCAGTTTTTGGTTACACCACAGAAAGTTCCACAATCTCCTACTCCGTAGACCAAGCTAGATCTCCAGGCTTTCCTGGGATTTTCAGCGGGTTAGATCTTTAATGCCCAAAACTACCAGTGGTTCCCAGCTGTCTTCTGGCCACCAGCACATACTCCTCAGCCTGTGTCTGTACAGGACATAAACACAAATTAGGACAGAAAGAGACAGCCCCAGGCTCCCGTGCTCTGCATGTGCTCTGTGCAAACTGGAAAGCCATCCCTCAGAGTCTGTCCTCTTGAACAAACTCCACCTTCCCGGTGCCCCGTGGTAGATTTGCCTTCTCATACCAAAGGAACCCCAATTTCTGCAGACTGTCTGCTTGCCCTTCCCTTACCCACCCCAGACTGTGTCTGGCCAAGGCTCAAAGTGGCCTGAGAGGTGGGCGGACTCCACATCCTAAGCTCAGAGAGCAGTGAAATGTTCATCTCTCCAGGGTGGTCCACGGAGACCCTTTCTTTCACATGTCATGGGAGCAGACTCTTGGTTTTGACCCACGATGAGAGCTCCAAGGCTCTAGGGTTTGGTGTTCATTGCAAAATAATAGGATCTGGATTGTGAAGCAATGAAAATCATGATTGTAAAGGAATAAGCGTTGTGAAAATGTTAATGGTGGACAACACCTTTTAACTTGGTCTGACTGTGATAAACAAACACTTTTCAGAACTCATACAAACCTGTGTAGGTAAAGCTTACTAAACAATTACTAATTAATTTATAGAAAATGAAACAGACCCACAAACATAGAAAACAAACTTATGGTTACCAAAGGGGGAGATGGGAGGATGTTAGGTGTTTGGGATTAACAGATACATACTACTGTATCTGTAGCACAGGGAACTAACTGTATTCAATATCTTGTAATAACCCATGATGGAAAAGAATATGAAAAAGAATTAAAAAAAAAAAAAA